CTGCCTTGAAGGTAGCCGCCGTGGAGGAGACGTCTTGGTGGGACTGTTGAGCTTACTTGGAGGATCATGGGACTTAGTAAGTAAGGTTATAAGTGCCTTAATTGGGGTTATAAGTATTGTTACCCAAATTGTAACCCTACTTACTAAGTCCCATGATCCTCCAAGTAGGGTTTAGGAGTCTTCGGAACTTTATTTGAAAATAACATAACGCAACCTGTCAGACTAGACGAGAATAGAACAGAATCGAATAGGCTATGATATAACAGAAGCTAAAATAGAAACAAGATACTGCAATATGTGGTTTCTGCAAGTCTAGGATTTGGGCTTTTCGTACTATAGACATCCCCCAAACTCCGTTCTATTGTTTAAGGCCCTATATCAAAAGCATCATTTCAATGCTTGGATTGTGCTGGTGATGGTCTTGGCCAGAGGCGGAGCCCTTCAGGCCTAAGCTACAGCTTAACGGCCAAACCCAAAACCTTCAACCGAAACCGCCACACCCCCAAAACGTCTGTTGAAGTTCTAAACAGACCCTGTGCAACTCAATACGACCCCAGACTCTGAACCCCTGATTCCTGGCATCAAACGCCCCAGAAAAACCCCAACCCCTAAACCCTGCACTCTCACCCGGAAAGGCGAAACCCTGAACCCCAAAACCCGACCCTGACAGTACTTGAACCCCAAAACCCAACCCCTACACCATGTTAAGAGACATGAGGAGAAGTTCCAGAAGCTGAGCGAGCTTTCGGCAGCCATCGATTCGCCCCCACCAGAGGGCGAGGCCCAAAACGTCGTTTGTTTTGTGATAGCCATATATCTATCTATCTATCCATCTAGCTGTCTGTCTGCCTCTCTATCTATCTATCTATCTATCTATCTATCTATCCATCTATCCATCGATCCATCTATCCATCTATCTATCCATCCATCTACCTATCTACCTATCTACCTATCTATCTATCTATCTACCTACCTATCTATCTATCTATTTTGTCTATCTGTCTATCTGTCTAACTATCTATCTGTCTATCTACCTATCTATCTACCTACCTATCTATC